CTCTTTAAAAATTCTTTAAAAGCATCCGACGTGAAACAAGTGCCTCTATCAGAGATTAGACGCTTCGGTTTACTGTACGCTCGGAAATACTCTCGCAGACATTTCACAGATTCCTCCGACGCTGTGGTTTTACATGGATAGACTCTAATAAATTTAGTGAATGCGTCGATGACAACGAGCAAATGACGGTATCCTTTTCCCGTTTTTTCTAAGGGGCCCATATGATCTATATGTATTGTCACGAACGGCAATTCCTCTTTTGGAATGCTATGCAGGAAACCTTCTGCTTTTCCGCTTAATGGCGAGAACTCTACACATCGCAGGCAATTTCCAATATATTCTTTTACTTTTTCCCTCATATTAGGAAACCAATAGACCGTTACAATGCTCTTAATAACTTTATCGATACCGACATGTCCGATGTCATCGTGGCAAGTCCTAATAACATTCGGTTCCATTGAACGCGGCACATAAAACAACAATTTTTTGTTTTTATCTTTCCGGTATACGAGACCGTCGCGTAATTCGTAGTATTTCATTTCACTTTTCTCAAGCTGATCGCGAATTCTGAGAATATCCGTATCTCTATCCTGACAGATAGATAGCGTTCGCTCGAATGTACTGCCTTCTAGTACTAATACGCTGTGACACCTACTTAAAGCGTCAACATGACTCATCCTTTTACCTGGACGGTGTACGATTTCGTAGTTATAATTTTGTAGAAATAATGCCCAACGAGATATCCGCGGATTAATATCTTTTTTATCCAGCGTGAGACGAAAGCTATCACAGTCTGTGACTATCCGAAATTTCCGCCCCGCCAAATATACGTGAAACCGTTTCAGCGCGTATACCACAGCTAGACATTCTAATTCATAGCTATGATACTTAGACTCGGTCGGAGTAGTCCGCTGACTCCAAAAAGAAACAGGCTTCCACAAACCACTGTCTTGCTTTTGGAGCAATATCCCGCCAAATCCGCTTGCACTCGCGTCACAATGTAATTCGGTATCCAATCGCGATGAATACATAGTTAATACAGGCTTACTCGCCAAGTGACGTTTCAGAGTCTCAAACGCGTCGTTTTCTGCAGTACCGAAATTAAAAACAACGTTTTTCTTTATTAAATCAAATAATGGCTTAGCCAACAATGAGAACTTAGGGATAAATCGGCGAAAATAACTCGCGAGACCAACGAACCGATGCACTTCTTTTACATTCCGCGGAATAGGATAGTTTAAAACGGACTCTATATTTTCGTCACTGGGGCGTATTCCATGCTCATTAACGCAATATCCCAAGTATCTAACTTCTGTTTGCGCGAAGTAACATTTATCTAAACGGAATTGCAGCTGATTCTTACCAGCTAACGTAAATAGTTCGGACAAGATATCAATATGCTCATCCAGCGCTTCCGTCGCGACCATAATATCGTCCAGATACAGTAATATCTTGTGTTCTCGTGTGAGCGGTGCAAATGCCTGATGAACAAAACGTTGAAACACGCGCGGAGCATTAGTCAGACCGAAAGGCATTCGTAAATACTCATATTGACCTAACGGTGTCACAAACGAAGTGAATTTAATCGATGCCTCGTGCATTTTCACATGATGGAATCCATCTTTCAAATCTAGCATAGTAAAGTATTTCTTTCCTTGTAGACAGTCAAGATTATCTTCAATCAACTCCGTTGGGAAGTTGTCACGTATTGTAATTTTATTTAATTCGCGGTAATCTATGCATAGCCTAAGACCACCGGTCTTTTTCCGTACTAGCACTATCGGACTCGCATATGGCGAATTACTGGGGCGAATAATTTTCCTTTCCAGCAACTCGTCTAACATTTTCCGCAAGGTATCTTTATCCGCGAATGAGAGTCTACGCGGGCGCGAACTTATAGGCTGCTCGTGCTTCACCGCAATGTTCATCTCAAAATCAGGCTCACATTTTTCCGCGTGAAAATTCTGAACATAACACGACTCATAAAGTTCATTAATTTTCGCTAAATTATCACGACCTATCGCAGGATTAATCTGTAATTCATCACGGTTCTGACAATTCCCGCTAATCTCGACGTTCAACACTTGCTTCGCGTTCTCTTCCGCGATACTTTCAATTTCGACAGTATCACCGAGTGTGATACGCAAGGTCGGACACGCTATAAAGTCTCTACCCAGTAATACTTTGTATGCCATCGCATTATCTGGCACAGTATAAAATCTCACAGGTGTACGGACACCTTTTATTTCGACATTGCTATCAAACATTTTTAGAATTTCTAGTCGCGTCCCGTTTATGCCGCAAAATTGATTCGTCTCCGTATCTACCGGAGAACACACTTCATTTTCGATAATACTATTCCGAATTAAACTAATTGGAGAACCCGAATCAATAATCGCATCAATTATATATGTATCGGTTTTATC